TTTTTTTAAGGAGCTAGACAGTTAGCTTGACCTAGCACTCTAAGTGTTTTAGGAATCCTGCTTTCATCTGTCTTAGTTTCCTTTGTGTGCCTTTCTATATGTCTGGTTCTGAGCTTGTCACTAGTAGACCAATGGATTCCAAAATCACCAATCTTGATTTTGGACATCCATTGTATCTGCACCCTAGTGATACGAGCGGAACACCTCTGTTAACTATGAAACTGTGTGGGACGGATAATTACAAGGTTTGGTCATGTGCTATGATTCTTGCTCTTGAAACAAAAAATAAAATCGGTTTCATTGATGGATCCTGTCCCAGACCTCTTAATGATCCCCTTCTTGAAAAACAATGGGACAGATGTAACTCAGTGGTCCTTTCATGGATTTTGAGTTCTTTGACGGAAGATTTATTTTTAGGTCAAGTTTTTTCTAAAGAGGCCTCAAAGGTTTGGGACGAATTAAAAGAGACATATGATAAAATTGACGGGTCTGTCATGTTCAATCTGTATCAAAAAATAAATTCCTTGTGTCAAAATGGATCTTCTGTTTCTGATTACTATCACAGATTAAACTCATTATGGAAACAGTTTGACGCCATTGTTAAACTTCCTACTTGTACATGTAATGCCTCACACGAATTTTTGGAACACACAAATCTGATCAAACTTATGCAGTTTCTTATGGGTCTGGATGATTTATACCAGCCCATAAGGAGCAATATTCTCACGAGGGATCCTTTACCATCTGTCAAAACTGCTTTCTCTATTGTCTCTCGCGAAGAGTCTCATCGTGGTAGTAATGTGTCCTCATCTAAAACCAAGTCTCAAAACTCTGCATTTTTTAGCAAGTCCACAGATAATAAAAAACGTTTTGGGAAAAATACTCTGCTAAATTGTAAACATTGTGGCATGACGGGACACACCATTGAAAGGTGTTTCAAGCTGATTGGTTTTCCTAATAACTCTCAAAATCGATCTAGACCTCAAAATTCTAATTTCAAAAATAACTTTAGCAACAATAATGCTAATGTCTCTGATATTACTCACTCTAAGAATACCCAATCTGTCACCCCTTTTCCTTTCTCTGAAGAACAGATAAATAAACTTCTTGGGCTTATTGAACAAAAACAACCATGTGAGGAAGCTTCTGCTAATATGGCAGGTATTAACCTTCTTTCTGGTTGGATCATTGATTCTGGAGCGAATCAGCACATGACACATAACTCCAAAATTTTGAAAAATACGGTTGACATCTCTGAGCTTGATCTTAGAGTTTGTCATCCTAATGGCACTAAAGCCAAAATAAACAAAATTGGTGATTTTAAGTTGACAAATAATGTCATTTTGTTTGATGTGTTGGTAGTTCCAGACTTCAATGTTAATTTACTATCTGTTCACAAATTAACAAAGGACAATAATGTTTTTGTTGGTTTTGATAAAACTAAATGTTATATCCAGGATTCACTACGAAAGAACGTAGTGGGGACTGGTAGTGAGGAAGGGGGTCTATATTACTTTGACCAAAAGTTTCAGGGTGAGTCCTCGTGTGCCATAACTGTTTCTAATATGTCTTCTGTTCCTTCTGCCCAATTATGGCATTCTCGTTTAGGCCATCCTGCTAGTCAAGTGTTGAAATTACTTAAAAATGACCTTAGAATTGATAGTGACTGCTATGGTCCTTGTGAGATTTGCCATAAGGCAAAGCAAACCCGTGAAAGTTTTGATTCTAGTGTTCATAAAACTAAAAGTTTAGGTGACTTGGTTCATCTTGATGTATGGGGTCCGTACCATGTTCAGACCAAAGAAGGTTTTAAATACTTTTTGACTGTCGTTGATGATTACACTAGAGCTGTCTGGGTTTTTTTACTTAAAGGTAAATATGAAGTGGAGGAAAACATTATTACATTTTACAATCTGCTTAATACTCAGTTTGAAAAGGCTGTTAAAATTTTTAGAACTGACAATGGTTCTGAATTTATGAGTAAAAGTTTAAGTGATTTTTTCAAAAACAAAGGTATTTTACACCAGACTTCCTGTGTCTACACACCCCAACAGAATGGGGTGGTGGAAAGAAAACATCGTCATCTTTTAAATGTTGCTAGGGCTTTATTATTTCAGGGAGGAGTTCCGCTTAACTTGTGGAGTGAATGTATTCTCACTGCCACCTACTTGATTAATAGAACTCCCTCTTCTGTTCTTAACGGTAAGTGTCCCTATGATCTGGTCTATGGGTTCAAACCTGTTCTTTCTCATCTTAAATGCTTTGGATGTTTGTGTTTTGCTAGCATACCTAATGTCACTGATAAGTTTTTGCCAAAATCTGAAAAATGTGTGCTTTTAGGATATGCTGGCTCTCAAAAGGGCTATAAATTGCTTAGTTTGGAAACAAAGAAAATTGTTGTTTCTCGGGACGTTAAATTTTACGAAAACATCTTTCCTTTTAAAATGAGAATAAATAAAATTGATGAACCCAATCATGATGATGTTATCAGATTAAATTTCTTTCTATATAGTTCATCTAATGAAAATGTGGATAAAACTCCCAATGATGAACCTCGAGACAACTCCACTGATGGATCTACTTCTCAGTCAAGATCTGATTTCAACACTTATAATATGCCTGGTAGCCAAACTAGAGCTGCCACTGAGGAGCCACTTGGCAGCACAACTGAGTCTTTATCTAGTGACTYTTTAAATCAAGTCAGTAATAATATTGAACGAGTTACCAGTAGGCAACTCATGAGTAGCACTGAAGTGGCTGCCGGTATACAATCTAATGATGATCATTCGTCTAGTCTCAGGTCTGAGGGTAGTTCTAGGTTGTCTTCTAGTTCAGAAGCTAGAAAATCTACCAGAGTGTCTAATTTTCCTAAAAAATTTGATGACTATGTTGTTGAAGGAAAAGTTAAATACGGATTAGAGAAGGTGGTTAATTATTCACTTTTGTCTTCTGAAAATATGTGTTTTGTGTCCTGTTTAAATAAATCTGTTGAACCAAAGAATTTTCATGAAGCTTGTAATGATCCTAATTGGATAGAGGCTATGAATAATGAAATGGAGGCCTTATATAGGAATGGTACTTGGATTGTTACTACCTTACCCCCTGGTAGAAAACCCATAGGCTGTAAGTGGATTTATAAGATTAAGTATAAATCCACGGGTGAGATTGAAAGGTATAAAGCCAGACTAGTAGCTAAAGGCTACAGTCAGAGGGAGGGATTAGACTATGAAGAAACATTTTCTCCAGTCGTAAAAATGGTCACCGTTAGATGTGTTGTTTCTTTAGCTGTTCAAAACAGTTGGAGTCTTTTCCAGTTAGATGTAAATAATGCTTTTTTGTATGGTGATCTGAATGAAGAAGTTTATATGACTCTCCCAGAAGGCTATTATGATACCAAAGATAAACATGTGTGTAAGTTGGTTAAGTCACTATATGGGTTAAAACAGGCACCACGACAGTGGTATGCCAAGTTGTCTTCCTGTCTTATTGAACATGGTTTCATTCAAAGCATAAATGATTATTCTTTGTTTACAAAGAAATTTGATTCTGTGTTTGTAATTCTTCTTGTTTATGTTGATGATATAGTTGTAACTGGAAATTCTGTTTCAGAAGTTAACAATATTAAGAATTTCTTGAAAGGAAAGTTTTTAATAAAAGATTTAGGAAAACTAAAATTCTTCTTGGGTATTGAAATTTTAGAATACGGTAATAGTATTTGTATGTCACAAAGAAAATACTGTTTAGAACTTCTTAATGATTTTGGTTATTTAGGTTCTAAACCATGTAACACTCCCATGGATATGAATTTGGTTATTACTGATTCTTCTAATGTAAATGATCCTCCTTTAACTGATCAAACTGGCTTCCAAAGGTTAATTGGAAGGTTGATATATTTGTTAGCTACTAGACCTGATATTTCCTTTGCTGTTCATTGCTTGAGTCAATTTATGCACTCACCAAGGCAGTCACACTTAAAGCTTGCACTCAGGGTTCTCAGGTATTTAAAACTCTCTCCAGGTAAAGGAGTTAGTTTTACAAAATCTAATAATTTTTCTCTAACAGCCTATGTGGACGCAGACTGGGGTAAATGCTTGTCATCAAGACGTTCGGTAACTGGTTTCTGCATATTTTTAGGTTCTTCAATGATATCGTGGAAGAGTAAGAAACAAAGCACTGTTTCACGCTCTTCTGCAGAGTCAGAATACAGGGCAGTGGCATCGGTATCTTGTGAAGTATTGTGGGTGTTAAAGATACTTTCTGATCTTAATATTTCTGATTTATTACCTGTTTCAGTACACTGTGACAATAAATCTGCCATTCAAATAGCAAATAATCCTGTGTTTCACGAAAGAACTAAACATATTGAAATTGATATTCATTTTGTTCGTGAAAATATTAATAAAGGTTTGTTAAAAGTTGAAAAAATCCTTTCCTCTGAACAACCAGCTGATATATTCACAAAGGCTCTTGGAATCAATCAACATAATTACTTATGTTCAAAATTAAAATTGGTTGATTTATTCAAAAGTCAAGATTGAGGGGGGATGTTAAAAGATGCTTTGAACTTACAATCTTTACTTTTGAATGATAGGTAATGTTGAAAGGAATCAGATAAGTATGCTTTATATGAAGTCAGGGACTGCGCCTCACAGTGAGTAGAAGATCAGGGTTAGCGGAGTAATATTCATAAAGTTGGAGGGTCTTTCCTGTCAATTCTGGATTCTTATATAAAGGGCATATTCTGCAGATCACAATTTCATTCAGATTCATTTTGTTTACATCTCATACATTTGTATTCTCTCTCTATTTCTAGAAGTTACGAAGATACATATTAGGTTAAGTTTTGTTCATAAAATTGTTAATCATTTTGATTAACAAATAGTTAGGTTTGCCTTTATATTTTTCTTTGTATGTTGTTCAAATCATTGAATAAATATATTTTCATATATTTGTTCAAAGAGAAGTCATTATGAAGTGAACCAGAAATCCTTCACTAATCTCCATATCCATACCTTTGAGCTTATTTGCCATATCACTCATCATCATGATGTGCTCACGTACACCACTAATGCCATCATATTTAGAAGTTAACATCTTGAGAATTAGTGTACTTGCATGAGCCTTAGAGGTACCCTTAAACTGTTCTTCCACAGAGTCTAAGTAGGTTTTTGCGTTGTCCGAGTCAGGAATGGCTCCACGAATAGCTACAGAGATGGAATTCTTGATTATCATGAGAGACATGCGATTTGATCGCTCCCACTGTTCATGCAAACGCTTTTGCTCTGCCGTACTCTTATCATTAAGTGCGGCAGGAGGATCGGTACGTAATGCATGATCAAGATCCATCACTCCTAAAGTTAATTTCACTGAGTCCCTTCATGTGGCAAAGTTTGTACCAGTCAATGGTTCAATGCCGTAACTAGGTGTTAAAGTGGATGCTGAAATAATAGGGATATTAGATATATTCATAGATGAAGCTAAATGATCTAACAGGATATAAACATATCAATGAAGCATATCAGTGTAAACATATAACCTATTATAAACACCAAAATAATAGGTTTTATAAGATATCGTGTCCGGTTATCATCCTCACGTTGGTTCGGTTGACAACCAAACTTGAGATACCCATAACTAAACTAAGCATGCACARTTATCACATATCACCTTTGGGCAGAGATGTAATAAAAGAATATTATGCTAATAATTCATCAATTAAATTATCAACCAATTCGCCTTTGGGTTCATTGAGTGACAATTTAAACGATTTATAATCCGACATTATTAGACATTACTTTCAGTAATCTTCCGTTGGGCCGATTACTTAAGTCGATAATGAATATTTTGGACAAGAGGTTTTTCATAAAATCTTGAAGATAAATATTCATTTGACGTAATGTAAGTACGTACATCATAAAATTGGTACAACATCTAATAAATTAAAACCAAGTGAGGTTTTAATAAAAGTGAATATGTGATTGTGATTGGTACATAAAAAATAAAATAAAAATTAGGGCAAATCACTTTACATGAAAGTGGCGATAACAACAGTGGGGTTTACCCCCTTCTTTTTGTTAATCTTTGTCTTCGTAAACCAAGGAAAAACAAAAGCATTTGTAGATGATTATTAATAGAACAGGAAGATTCCTTTTTCTCATGTAAAAGATGAAGGCGGTTGCAAAACGTAAGAATATGTATATACGCATATCGTGAAATAAAAATTAGGGTTCATGATTATTAGGGCATATTACATAAATTAAAACCACGCTCTGATACCACATGTTAATCACATTAAACACATAACAGGATTTAATCACATGATCTCAATTGAAAACGTAAACTTAAAACTTACTTGGAAAGCCAATCTTGATAGGATTGTTCATTGACGAAGAAGACACCATTATCACGATATGACTTCGAAATCTTATTCTCGTTATTATGCCTTCTTCTTGATGGATAGATTTAGAGGATAAAATTATAGTGTTTTGGGAGAGAGAGAGTTTTTGATCTCTCCTTGAATATCCCCTGTACGTGAGAAAGCATTAAAGAGAAAAAATAACTTTACCATCTTATTTATATGGCAGTTACTTCCATCAAGTAACTAATTATGGCATGATGGTATAATTAAGGGTATAAACCATAAATATTTTTATTTACCACAATTTATAACATAAATGGTCCTAAGGCCACATAAAATAGAAAATATTCCAACAGTATTGAGATGTATGATTATTGGGCTTTTGTGCATACAAGAAGACCCTCCAGATCGGCCAACAATGATGGATGTTGTTCTAATGTTGGGGATGGATATCGAGAGCCTCCCGGATCCTAAAGAACCAGCTTTCATTTCAAAAACACAAGTTGATAGTATGCAAACGTCTTCATGTAAATCAGAGATCAATCAATTGACTATTACCGATTTAGAAGGGAGATAGATGAAAAACATAGCTTTTGTTACTCATGGGTTGTTTGGTTGGTTGGTCATTAAGTCTTTAACAGATAAAGTTACATGTTTGATTAATTTGTCTGTATAAATAGTGAGGTAAAGGACTATTAAAAACCCAGAAGATGGATTTCAACTTTGCCTCATGTTGTTAGACTTTTGAAGTTTTGCTTTCAAAAATGAGTTTTGATGAATCATTGTTTTTATGTACACAGTGAAACATAACATTTTGTTAGCATGTTGTAAAACCAGGGATAATCATATAGCATTATTCTTTTGGGACATCGATTCATATTAATTTCAAAATCCATTACATTAAGGTATTAGGATCATACTTGCATTCAATAATCAATATCATAACAAACCATACAATCAAACATACAACTTAAAGAAAAACAATATTATACATTATTATTTTAGTTTGTTCTAAAATAAATGTTCACTTTTAGTTTGTATTAGAATATAGTAGATTTATTGTTATTAACTAAGAAAACTCCTACGTTGTGGGAAAAAAAAAACTATCAACCATATATATGTGACGATCCAACTTATATTTATATTTAGGATTTCAAAACTATTCTTATTTTTTCCTAAATTATTGACTCCTTGTTATTAATATTGAGTGTATGAATTTTAACTACTCTCTTATCTCTAAAACAAGCATAACTTTTCAAGGTATAACCAAGATGGACTTTTGATTCTAAGATTTATGGTTTTTAAAAAGTTTGTTTTAACCCTAAAAGTTCAAAATGGCAATGAAAACATTAACATGATGTGACATAGAAGTTCAACTGATTTATATAAAGTATTACTATGAATAATCAACATTGTGACCGCAAATGATGTCAATTTATATACTAAATGTATATTATAGGATGTGTTTGGCGGTGGAATGGATCTACGATGCTTTTAAAATGATATTGTAGATAATATTAGTTTAAAAGTAATTATTGATTGATTTTGCATATAGAATACTTAGAAAAACGATTTTACATGAATTATTAGTATTTCGGAATTCAATTTTATTTTTTATGATAAAAACTATATATTGAAATATTTTTTGTATTTATCAAGGATCCCTTATTATATTTCCCCCAGGACCTATAAAATGTCATTAATGGACTTGTTCAAATAATTATTTTATCTATTCAAATTAGTCTTCTAGACTTTTTTTTTTTCTCGAGTTGACCCAAATGTCATTACATCTATAATATCTTACGGACCTGGCTAAACGAATCGGCCCATATCCGGAATATTCGATATAATCATGTATGGCTTGAAATTTGTAATGTTTATATTATAATACATCCAATAACATGTTAGGAATTTTGATAAAATGAAATAGGCAAATTAGCATTCGTTAGATATATTAATTAAACTTCAATATAATTTGTGTTTAAAGTACAATATATTTTTATATATAGCCATTTACCGATGCTGCAATATGTCATAATTTATTGAACATTCTAACGACAAGAATACCACAAACTTGAAATTACTTTGAATAAAAAACATCGACGTTAATTTGACCCGAATTCTTGTTGCAAAACTTGATCAAGTAACGCCTTGGATTCTGTCATCAACTCGGGGCTTAACCGAAACATCAACACACAAAACTCCATTTGATTGAGAGCGTCATCGCCATCATAATCACCTTCTTTTAACATGCTCATTAATTCGTCGTCTCGTAAATCTTGCAATCCAAGCAATGAAGAGTTGTACTTCAAGCTTTCAAAAGTGATCATGCCTTTGTCTTTATCCATCAACAAATCGAACCCGTTGCAGAGCTCTTTAATTAGGCCTTCACCTCCCAACTTTTCTGCCATTTTTGGTAGCATATCTTGGAACCCTTCCCGACAAAATTTGCCTCTTGCTCCTGATCCCATCTCTTTGGAACTTCTTTTCCTTTTTTTGGAAATTTGCTTATGAGAAGGATGGGGGTTGGGGGGCTCTGGGTTTGGAAGTCTTGGTGGCTGGAGAATGTACAGTTTCGCTTTTCACCCCAACTTTTTCATATTAGACAGAATGGTTCTTCAAGTATGAAAAATGACATTTGGAACCCATTTTATTCAAATTTATTTATAGTTTGATGCATAAGTTGTGATTTAAAGTCAAGACATTACAGCATGTTTAAAATTATACCTATATTATTCATATTTCTAAATATCTTTTCTTAATATTTCTATCTATATTTTGGCAAACTAATATATAAGCTAGTTGTTGGTCGATATACAGTTTATAAATTAGTCATTTTCAGTAAAAGTCTAACTGATAAGCTTGTTGATAATATAAATAGCATAAGGTAATAAATATATTAGCGCAAGGTAGACAGCGGGTGCCATCCTACTCCCCTCCTTTAAGGTCTTAATTGTGTTATTTATTTAAAATATGTTTTATAACATCGTTTTTTGATCCACAAGTTACAAATTTATAAGCAAATAATATATTTACCTTCTTGTTAAATCAGTACACAAACAATTGAACTTTGATATCAAGAAAAGAGAAATTGTAACTAATATGGGAACCTCATAATTCTTACAAAACAGATGCACTCTTGGAATTTACAAAGTTAAAATAGTTGGATTTGAGGTTTGTGATACTTTAAGGTAGCAAAGTGAGTGTTTGGAATAGTTGAAGGGTGCAAATAGAAACTTATAGAAACTGTAAAGGGGCTTCTATTATTACAGGGGAGGGGACAGGCGAGGCCAACTATTTCCTAGAAGAACCCCTGCCTGCCGACTTGCCATCTGGCTTTCATTTTTTTTAATATGGAAAGATTCACACTTCCGATTGTGTTTCCGAATTTCAAACATCTTACTGATTTCCTTGTTACTTCTTTCATTTTGATCACGTATATTTATATAGGTGATAGTGTGAAAAGTAAATCTCATATATATATATATAAAGAAGATTTACTTTGCAAACCACGTTATCTGTACAAACCTCATTCAACCAATCATAATTTTTCATGTTGTCTATTTTTTTGTAATTATAAAAGGTTTATTAATCATTTTTATTATGTAAAGTGTTAATCATGTATATTATCATCTTCATTATTTTAATTTTAGAGAAATAAATGAAACAGTTTCATTAAAATTTCATTAAGTATTATATGAAACAATTTCATAACCATATATGAAACAACTTCAT